TCAGGTGGTGGTGGCTGCTGCAGCAATGGCGGCATACCGTCTGAGATGCGAACTAAAATGGAAGAAGGGAGCCCGGCATACGAGGCTGCCGGAAGACGTTCTGCTGGATCCGATATTTGAGATGCGACAGGACAGAATACCTACTATTCGGGCTTCTGATAGGCGCTTCAAAGTGCATATACCGAGGCCGGAGGAGTGGGAAAAGGAAGGTGGAAACTTAGGGGCTCGAGTGCGTAGAGGAAATGTCTGGTATACGGACGGCTCCAAGACGGACACGGGCTCCGGGGCCGGCTTCTTGGCAGTCGAGAGGGATGGAAGGAGAGCATTTCTCTCGACAGTTATGCCACGGTATTCCAAGCGGAGATTGTGGCTATCTTAAGCTGTGCTCAGACCGTACGGAGTAGGGTAGAAGCGGGAGAGCACATCAGAATTTGTACGGACAGCCAGGCAGCCATCAAGGCGCTGGGGGCTCCGATAATAACGTCGCGATTGGTTCGGGAGTGCAGGTGCGTTCTGAACGAACTGGCGAGAGAGAGAGAAGTTACCGTTACCTGGGTGCCGGGTCACTCGGGCATTCAGGGTAATGAATGTGCGGACCAGCTGGCAAAGGCGGGTTCAGAATTAACGATGGTAGGACCGGGGCGGCCCTGGGAATCCCCTTTTGTTTAGGAAAGGGGAGGATTAAAGAATGGCTCCGCAGAGAACATCTAAAACACTGGAGAGTGGAATCTGAGTCCAAATGCAGACAGGCTAGAGCTTTGATGGGAGATACTCCTAATAGAGAACTGACTTGGAGCATAAGGGCTCTGAGTAGGAAAGATGCCAGGACAGCGGTACACATACTGACGGGTCATGGCACCTTAAACTACCACATGTACAAGCTTGGGCGTAGCGATACATCCAAGTGCAGGGCATGTGGAGATGACGAGGAAACAACCTTCATGTGCTCAGCGACTGTCCTGCACAGGCAGGGTTGAGACACAAGATGCTGGGCTCAGCACTACTTGGGCCCAAGCAGATCAGGAAACTGCCGGTGAGGGATCTGATTCTCTTTTGGAGAAAAACAGGTCTCTCATAAGTAAGTTTATGAGGGGAGGCACAATGGACAATGTCTGGGTGCCGCGGGCGGTGCCTCGAAAGAGGAACGCCCCCCCGTTACAATAATATTATTATTATTATTATTATATAAAGGCCTGTGTCCACGATGCAAGAAATTGGTCCAAGTTCTTGGTCCGAGAAATGTATAGCCAATTAAATTGAAGTTCTTATGGAAAAACAGCAAGTTGATTGGTTACACATTTCTTGAAGCAATCCAACCATTTTGGGCCAAGAACTCGAACCAATTTCTTACATCGTGGACACGGGCTTTAATATTGTATATAAAGATCTGGAAAATTGAGAAATAATGAATTTATTCATATATTTTCATATATTTTCATTTCTTTTCTGAACTTTTCTGAAAAGTGTGCCAATTCATATAAAAAATCTTAAAATTTTCTGAAAAAGTTATAAAATTTTTGTAAAAAATCTGAAAATTTTTATGAAAAATTCTGAGAATATTTTTCACCAGGGTATAATATTCAAATATTAAAAGAATTACTATCACAAAACTTGTAGAATTTTTCTTGTATTAGTTACTTAATTAAATCAATTATAATATTCAATACTATTGTTACGTCCTAACCTGGAGGGAAAGGAGCGGAGTCAGGTATACGGACGGACGCAACAATAAAAGTATGAATTTGTGTTTGCTCGCTGGTCGGTATGAGAGGAGGCGACCGCGCGAGCCGAACGATTTCCCTTGGCTGAGGACAGGTCAACGATCGTAAGGATCGATATTACGCTGTTAGAGGCCTCAACCAATCGTTCGTGGTTCTCTTTTCTGGTCAAGAGAATTAACTCCTTTTACCAAGGGCGGAACCTCGTGCAATTTTCAAAAGGAGAGGTGTTTGAGAGAGAGAGAGAGAGAGAGATTGATTGAACTTTATTTAGCTTTCTCAGCTATTTCCAATAACAAAAAATACAATACATAATATATGATAAAATAAAATACGAGTATAACAAATATAAAAATACAAAATTTCGCAAGAAAATACTTTCTACTATACTTTTCAACAACTAAAAGTATATAGTCTTTGAATTTCCTTATCTACTAACATTATTTCTACTAACATTTCCGATCTCTTGATGTTATTATCCAACATCTTTGAAAGAGAGGATTTCAAGATCTTCACAACCTAGTTCTATTGCACTTTATCTCGAATATAATTTTTCAGTTCCAGTTTGAAAGTCTTTAGTCTTTCATTTTGCTTTATGCTGGCTGGTAACGAATTATACATATTAACTCCTTCATAAAACACACTTTTTTGTGCATTCCTGGTTTTGCGGAGCTCCAGCATAATATTTCCTGCCTGCCTCGTCGTTCTTTGGTTCTCATTACCTACTATTACAAGTTTATTTCTTAATACTACGGGTAGTATATTATGTAATATCTTATAGATGAAAACGCACACATTATAATATAATCTTTGTCTGACAGACATAAACTGTAGCGCCTGCAGCATGTGTTCTATTTTAGTGTATCTGTCACAATGCAATATAACTCGCATTGCCCTGTTCTGAGCTTTTTGCAACATATCAATTTGTGTTTCTCTCACGTTGATTATTAGGGTGGCGCAGTATTCAAAATGAGGTGCTATAATTGATTTATATATAAGACATCTAGTATATGCAGTCAAAAATCTACCTTACCTATTTAAGAAGCTTACTTTCTTACCTACTTTCTTAAGTATATAATCACAATGATCCTTAAATCGCAGTCTATCATCAATTATGATGCCTAAGTATTTCATTTTCTCTACTCTCTCGATTGGTGCTCCATCCGCGCATTTCAGGTTAATTTCACCTCTTTGCTCTTTCCTTATACCCCTGATTATCATGTATTTTGTTTTTTCAGTATTCATTTTTAATCCATTTATACTCATCCAATGTTCTATCTCAAGAAACGCCTTATTCATTTTATATTGCAGCTCTTCGCTGCTATCGCCACTCACATATATTAGTGTATCGTTCGCAAACATTTTTATGTTACATTTGTCCGAGCATACATTTGTGATATTATTTATATATAGTATGAACAGCAAAGGGCCTAAAACCGAACCCTGCGGCACGCCATACTCCGTGCTTAGTAAACCTGACCATTTGTTATCGAAGTTAACTTGTTGTAATCTACCGCTCAGATACGATCGAAACCATTGAAGAACTCTATCTCTAATTCCACACTGGTACAATTTTGTTAGTAATCTTTCCCTATCTATCGTTTCGAAGGCTCGTTTCAGATCCATGAATATGACCCTAATCATTTTTCTTTCACTAATTATGAGTTTCCAATCATCTACTATTGTTTGGATTGCCGTTTCACACGAGTATCCTTTCCTAAAACCCGATTGATGTTCTGTTATAATTTTGTTATTCTCTAGGTATCTATCCAGTCGTTTTTTAACTACTAGTTCCAATATTTTTTCAAATGTTGGTAACATATTGATGGGTCTGAATTCACTCGCCTTTCTCGGTTGTCCTATTTTTGGGATCGGTTTAATCGTGGACGTCTTCCAATCTTCAGGACATATTTCTTCCTGTAGAGAGCTGTTGATTAGATCCACGAATTCGCTTCTTAACACGTACCATGCGATCTTCATGATGTCAGTACTGATGCCCTCATCCGTGCCTTTCTTACTTAGTAGTTGTTTAATGATTTCTCCTACCTCTTCTATTGATGTTGCTTCAAAATTCTGCAGATTTTCCCTCTTTCTATTGTTCGTGTTGTCGCCTTCTTGTGAGTTCCCTGTTGTTTTTTTTATGGTTTTTATTATATTCTTGATGCTTTGAATGTAGAATAGATTAAAATTGTCAGCTATATTTCTTTCTTCGGTACTGTCTAGGCTTTCAAAGTTTATATCATCTTTTTCCTTTTTCTCGGCTGGTACCCCTCTGATTATTCCTTTCAGGGTCTTCCACATTGCCGTAGGATTTCCTTTATTTCGATCGATTGCGTCTTCGTAATATCTCTTCTTCTGTGTTTTGATAAGCCTCACTACTATATTCCTTTCTCTTTTGTATTGCAACCAGTTTTGTTCCGTATCTTCATGCAGAGCTCTCCTGTATGCTACATCTTTTCTTAACGCTGCGTTCCTTACTTCTTCAGTGAACCATCTTTTTCCTTCCCAGATTTTCGGGATTTTCACTTTTCTCTTTGGGGCCACCACATCCAGTGCCTGTACCATGCTAACCACTAGTCTCTTCGTTTTCTCATTCACCTTCATATTCCTATTGATATGTAGTCCGTTCCACAGGGTCTCGCAAAACTGGTCCACATCAAACTCCCTATAGCTTCTGGCAATATATGTTCTGTCTATGGTTTTCCCTCTAGTTCCTTTACGTTCAATTTTTAGGCATGCATGATCTGTTATCATTGGTTTACGCATCACATCTACCTGTATCTCTTTGTTAGCAAAAATCAAGTCTATGATTGTTTTGCTGTCTTTTGTAATTCTTGTTGGTGTCCTGACATATTGTTTCATTCCCAAGCTAGTCATTATCGTTTGTAGTCTTCTTGTATAAAACGATTTTACTTTGAAGTCGATGTTTAAGTCACCCACCACAATGCAATCCTTTCTCATCAGCAGTTCCTTCATCACATCTTCCATAAAGTTCATAAATTCCGCGTCTGATGCACTCGGCGAATGATAAACTGTCATTATCACACCTTTGAACGCACTTCCTTTCAATTCGATCGCCACACCCCAGTAGTTTGGTTCACTTTTCTTCATCCAGATCGTCTTGTATCTGATATTATTTCTCACGTATATCAATACTCCTCCTGTTCTTCTAGATTCTCCATCACACCTTAGTACACTGTACCCAGGTGCACTCACTTCATAGTCTTCAATATTTGCAATCAGTCTGGTCTCTGCCAGCGCCACAACCACAGGATTTTTCACCATCATTAGATCGTGTACCTCACCCTTGTGGGCCAACAGGCTCTGCGCATTTGCAAAGATCAGACTCTCGTCTTCTTTGGTCATTCCTTCTTCCTGGCCGAATTGCTATTTCTCACTCCAGCCAGCTCTCCTTTTTTCTTCCCTCACTGCTCTTTGATAGGTCGGGCACTTATTGCTAAGCGCATCATGGTCATCGTTTATTTTAATCTTGTATTTCTGGATTTTGTGCATGCAATTCACACATCTCTTACTGCTCTCTGTGCATTTATCCGTTTCATGTTTCCCTGCACACTTGAGGCATGTCACCTCCCTTGTGCAGTTCTTGGCAATGTGATAGAATCCCCAGCACCTGAAGCATCTCTTGACACTAAGGTGCTCAAATACCGGACACTTCTTCCATCCCACATTCACTTTCTTTTCCTTCATCAGTTTCCTGTGTGTGTTTTCGTCCACTTCTATTATTATGGAGCCTTCTTCCTTTGATGTCCTGTTGGTCTCGTTCGTTTCTCTTCTTTCATTTGTCCGTTTTATTCTTTTTACCATTCGCATATGGAAGTAGTTTGTATTTGTTTTTATTCTGTTTTGTGTCTTGATGGTTTCTAATAGTTCATTATCTTCCATCTCTAATTTATCTTTTGCAATACTAGCAATTTTCACCTTCGATTTGCTTCCTACTGCTTCAACAACTTTAAATTACTTCCTAGTCTTTTTTGGACCTCGTCTTTTAATTCTTTACATTCTTTTCCAGCCTCACATCCTATCAGGACGCTCCCTTTATGTCCTTTCCTGAATCTTGAGACTCCTACCTGCATGTTCTTAATGTCTATTTTCTCTTTTATAACTTTTTTCGTTTTCTCGCTCTCTTGCTGTTTCTTAGGTTTAACCATAATTATCGCTTCTTTCTTCTTTTTCACCATATCGCTATAGCTATTTGTACCTTTTTTCTTATCGTCTTCTTCCAGTGACATCTTTGTTCC